GCAAAAGTTCTTCTTCACGCAGCGCATAGTCAACCTGTCGAACTCCTTGCCAGAGGAGGCAAATTAATAGGTAGCAGGTTTAAAACTAATAAGCGAAAGTTCTTCTTCACACAGCGCATAGTCAACCTGTGGAATTCCTTGCCAGAGGAGGCTGTGAAGGCTAGAACTATAACAGTTTAAAGAGAAGCTAGATAAATTCATGGAGGTTAGGTCCTTAAAAGGCTATTAGCTAGGGGGTAGAAATGGTGTCCCTGGCCTCTGTTTGTCAGAGGCTGGAGATGGATGGCACGAGACAAATCGCTTGATCATTGTCTTCAGTCCCCCCCCTCCTGGGCACTTGGTGGTGGCCACTGTCGGCAGACAGGCTACTGGGCTAGATGGACCTTTGGTCTGACCCAGTACGACCATTCTTAAGTTCTTATTATTTTCACTTCGTGGAACCCCAGGGTTCCACAGAACACCATTTGGGAAACACTGGCTTATGAGATAGTGCCCTCACCTGGACAGCAGCTCTGACCCTCTCAGGGGCTGCAGGGACATGCCAGTCACTTCCAGGAGCACAATTACCCCAAGGATAATTACGCCAGATATGACAGGATTGTCATTCTCTAAAATGCCTGACACGTGCACGCACACAGTGTGAGAATGTCAGAGATTTGCCAAGCTCCCTCCATCCCCTTCTCTCTTTGTGGAGTACAAGGGAGTGTGTGTGTGGGGGGGTGGAGGGGTGGAGTGGGAGGATACCCTGATATCAGCTCCCTTTCTTCTCCCTCCCCCACACTGCACAGCAAGCAGGAGGCTCCCAGGGGGCAGCTCCAAGGCAGAGAGTAGAAGCAGCATGACAGTGGGTGGAGGGGAAACTGAAGTGCCAGCACTTGAGAGCTTCCCCGCCAAACCAGTCAGGACTCCCCCCATCAGAGGTTCCAAGATTTACGGTAGCGCCCGAGCTACTGGTTGGTGACCACTGCCTTACAGACTCCTGTCTGATACGGACGCTTTGCGCCAGAGGCGTAGCGAGGGGGTTATGCGCCCGGAGGCAAAGGAAAAATTTGCACCCCCCCCCAAAGCCATGTGGCATGGACCCAAACCTGGTGCACAGCTAAGGGGAACTTGTACCGATCTTCCCTCACCCTCTACAGTCTGGGGCCGGGCTCCGACATGCACTAACCCACCAGTGGAAATGGAGGATGGTCAGGCTTGGAGCAGTGAGGCAGGGAGGAGGCTTCAGCTGCCAGTGGCAGGTGGAGGAGGAGCACATGAGCTGAAGGGATAACGGGGGGAGCAGAATGGGATTAAATTGGAGCTTCCCTAGCATGGTGCACAGGGGCAACTGACCCCTCCAACCGCCTTGCTACGCCACTGCCCCCCTCCTGCAGATCTATCAACTTACGCATGTGCAAGATCTGTGAGAGCCGTCCCATGAATCTGCAGTTAGTGTCTGTGGCACCTGCTTCTGGGTGGTGTCTCAGTGCTGCCACATTCACCTCCAAAGAGGGGGCTTCCCAAAGCAGGCCCTTGCTGCTGATCCCCAAGGCATCCATAGGTCCAGTCTCCTTTCAATGGGTCTCCCCTCTCCAACCTTTGCAACTGCCCATAGGTGCTCACCTTCTGCCTTATCCATTCCCACCTCATTCACCCCACAGGGACAGTCTCTGCCTCTGTCCTAGGGACTATTCTACCGAGATGCAATACAAAGTTTTCATGTAAAAGGACTCAATACAAAGCTAAAAACTTCAATGAGAGAATGATTAATACAGAGATGTGTCTACATCTGCTGCAGGGAGACACCTCTGCCTGCCTCAACCCCTCTCCCCCAGAGTCTACAGTCCCATTGCAAAGCAGGGGAGGGGAAGAAAAGAGACCGAGGCCCATCCAACAGGACTGAAGCAGTCATGAGCAAGCCATGCCTGGGAGCCATTCTCCTGTCCATTGCTGGTGCAATGTTGCTTCAGGCACACTGAAATGAAGTCACCTCTAGGGTGGGCTGGACAGCTGTTTAACACCTGTAGGCTCAGGGCAGGCAGGGGGCAGTGCAGGCTGCCTTCCTGCAGGGCCCCCATCAGAACTACTGTGCCCTCCTGGCTTAGGAAAAGAATAAACAGGAGGATTGGAAATTAACCCGCCCAGTCTCACATCCCTTAGGCAGTGAATGAGCCATCTACATTAGGCCCCAGCTGGAGTATCATGTCCAGTTCTGGGTGCCACATTTCAGGAAACGTGGAGAAACTGGAGAAAGTCCAGAGAAGATCAACACAAATGATGAAAGGTCTAGAGCACATGAGGTATGAGGCAAGGCCGAAGGAATTGGCCTCGTTTACCTTGGAAAAGAGAAGACCGAAAAGGGACATGAGAGCAGCTTTCAAGTATCTAAAAGAGTATCATAAAGAGGAAGAGGAAGAAAAATTGTTCTCCTTGGTCTCGGAGTTTAGGATGAGAAGCAATGGGCTTAAATTGCAGCAAGGGAGGTTTAGATTGGGCATTAGGAAAAACTTCCTGCCTGTCAGAGTGGTTAAACACTGCAATAAATTGCCTAGAGAGATTGCGGAATCTCCATCACTGGAGATATTTAAGATCAGGTTAGAAAGACACCTGTCAGGGATGAGCTAGGGCAACTCAACTTTGGAAGCCCCAGGGGCCACACTGATACTTACAGAACATGCTGAGCGCCTCAACTTAAGTGTGGTTGTATATGCAAGCAAATATATACAAATAGTTTCTCTCACACTGACAGGCACGAATACAAAGATCAAGGGAAGACTACACAATACACAAGCCTCATTTAAGTCAGTTCTGCTGATATTAATAAAATGGTACTCTCTCCATGCCATTGCTTACACGCCCTTACACGCCTCTGGCCCCCCACCCTCTGCTCCATGCCCCTTGGCCCTGGCCTGCCTGACCAGGGGCTGCCGCTGGAGACTGGCAGGGTTTCTACCAGCTGATGCCAGAGCCAGGCACCCCGAGCAATGACAGTCCCAAGAATTTAACTCCTAAAACACATATCAACAGAAGATCATTACACTACTTTTTTGTTTTGGCTCCCACTCGCTGGCCATGCGTTGATCCCCACATAAATCCAAATTGCACCACGGGGCGCAAACAAACTGGCCGTGGGCAGCATACCAAGTTATTAATAAATATTTTGAAACCATTACCTTTTCTCTCTGCTGCCATGTCTCCTCCCCTTGCTCCATCATCTCCCCTGGTGCCTGCTGCCCCTCCCCCCCAAC